CGAAAGATAAGCAAGCTTTAGCAGATCAAAAGAAAGCAAAATTCAACCAACCGGAGGGCGATCATTTAACTCTGTTGGCAGTTTATAACTCCTGGAGAAATAATAAATTTAGTAATGCATGGTGTTATGAAAATTTTGTGCAAATTAGAACTTTAAAACGCGCTCAAGATGTTCGGAAACAACTATTAGGTATAATGGACAGGTAATTATCAGTTTATTTGTAAATACAATTTTTTAATATCTAATAAGATAAACTAATTATTTATTTGGTTTATCAGACACAAATTGGACGTAGTATCTGCGGGTAAAAACACTGTAAGAATTCAGAAAGCTGTTTGTTCTGGTTTCTTCAGAAACGCCGCAAAGAAAGATCCTCAAGAAGGATATAGAACCTTGGTAGATAGCCAAGTTGTCTACATTCATCCAAGTAGCGCGTTATTTAACAGACAACCGGAATGGGTAAGTCAATGAAGGTTAGAAACGTAATTATAAAAGATACATATGACCAATTTTTTCTTTCATTTTCTATAGGTAATTTATCATGAATTGGTCCAAACTACAAAAGAATACATGAGGGAAGTGACAACTATAGATCCAAAATGGTTAGTAGAGTTTGCGCCAGCATTTTTCAAATTTAGCGATCCGACCAAACTTAGCAAGTTTAAGAAGAACCAAAGATTGGAACCACTTTATAATAAGTACGAAGAACCGAACGCTTGGCGAATATCAAGGGTTCGAAGAAGACGTAATTAAAATGTTTATTATACAATCTGTAAATAGTATTTTGTACAGTCATTATTTAAAAACTAACCAATAAATAGCTCGGATATACTAGTTGTTTTCTTCACTTCACTTCTTTGCGTATGATACAAAATTAAATATTAGTTACACAAAATGTTGCTTTCCATTTAGACAATTATAAAATATGTTCGACGTTGAAATTATAATAGTAGTTCTCTATGCTTACATTTATTTATAATTTCTTAAGTAAAGTAAATTACGCAGAATAATTCGTGGGCAATTATCTCGTCCATTGCAAATTTATAGCCTTTTAAATATTTACACTCATAATGCAAGAACAGGGCCCACTGTTTTACTTTATAGTATAACTCCTGGGTTGGATCTCGAAAAATATTTAAGACGGAATTTGTTTGTACTAGTTTTAACAAGTACAATACAAGTAAGTTAGTTTTCAGAGTATAATATCGACTATATTAATATAGTTCATCTATATATGTAAGTTATATTAATGGTAAAGTAAAATGTGTTATACACTTTGGCATGATTACTTTTTACAATTTGTTTTCAAAGCTAAAACGATACGGCGTATCAGTCTCAGAGAACAGGAAAGTATTTAATTATCATATCTCTTGTCAGTCTTTTCCTCTGAATTAGTTATTAAATTTATTAAATAAATACATTCTCCACAAACATTTAATAATAAAATGATGTAGGAGTAATTGTTCTTTTTCGTGTATAAAGTTTCTTTTTTTTCTTAATTATTCTTAATGCGTCATCCTTGTATAAGAGTACTTTTAAGAAATCTTTAATTCACTTTGTAAAGCTTGTACAACAGCTGTGAAATATGTATCATCTTAAGATCGAAAATTATGTTTTTCTTTCATTTTTCTTTTTTGGACTTGATTGGCATTGGACTATACTTTTTGTCGAAGGAACATCTTGTACATGGCAGGCTATTGAGTATGTTGTTTCTTTTTGACTAATTCCACCAATTGTCTATACCTTGCTTGGCATTCATCCTTTGGAACGCAATATCGATTATATTAAACATACGTTTGAAAAATGCGTTGTAATATATCTATATACGATACCTTGCTCTTTCCTTCAACGCATTTTGCAATTTTCTCCCATCTATCTATTGATGTGCCTTTAGGATATTTTATAAGAGCCGCTTCTAGAGCTCTTTGTTGTTCTTGACTCCATTCGCTAATGCTTTCTACATTCTCGGCACGAGTCTTTATCTTTTTTGAACGTTCTTCTATAACAGTCTCCTCTGTACACGAACCGGGTTTTAATCCTTCGTCTTTTATCTAGCAAGTACCAAAAAATTATTCATCAAGAAGTTAGAATTAGAATCTATAAAAAACAGATTAGAAAATAACCTTTTTTGCCATATGTGTAACTTCGGTAACTGTACGGTTCATCGCGTCTGCAATTTTATCCCACCTCTCTGATGTACCACTGGGATACTTCTTCACGAGTTTTATTAATTCTAGTATGTCATCATCAGTCCATAATCCCCCAGAAATAGCAGGTTTCTGATAAACGTGATTCGTTTGATCTTTCTTAAACACCTCTTTAACGCCATTACCGCTTCTTTCTTGCGGAGTGAAACCAGTTCTGCGTCTCCTCGTACGAGATGTGAATTCTGGTTCTGGTTGTTCGTTTTCTTGCATTCTGAAACAGGTCGTATAAATAAATTCTAAGCATACCTAATGGAAGGAAAATGTTTGGTGGCAAATAATACGTTTCATTTGAATATCACAGCTTTACTCACAATGCTTCTTCTTCTTTTTGCTTTTTCCTACGTTTTCTTTCTTCCAGTATAGTATTCATTACACGCACGATATCAGGTATGGACAACGTAAAAGCTATTATCCATCTTGGAAATTGAAACGGGAGAGTGTTCCAAATAGTTGGTGTAGGAATTTTCTCCAAAATGTCTGCCAAATCCGGCACATCCATCTTCCCTTTCTTATTCTTTTTTTGCATTTTCTGAAGTTTACTGCCCAAAACTTGTTCCTGCAACATACATTATGATAAATAGGCAAAGCAATTTAACTTCCATTAGTTTTGAGTAGTTTTTCTTACATACATATGTATATCTTTTCTCGAAATATGCGGCCCACGCAACTACATATTGTCCGATGGTAATCAGTAAAAATAAAATTATTCCTAATTCTACAAGTCCCATTTTCCGCACATGGCGGTAATAATACACGGCTGATCGCCAGTTTGGCAATCCATTAACTAGAACATTGTCGTATCGCTGACGTTTCGCAGGATCTTTCAGAATATCATAAACAGCGACTAACTGGAAATAAGAGGAAGGTGGTGAAAAAATACTAAATTTATTTCCCCTCAGACACTGAAAATTCTAATCAGGCATCATTTTTTATATAAAGTATCTAAGTACAAATCAGGTATCATAAAAATATAATCATTTATAGCAAATGTGATGGGAAAGTTGTAAAAACTGTAGATGAAGTTGACATTGCCTCAAAAAGTGAATTGAATTTTTCTAACTTTAAGTGATCACAATTTTGAAATTAATGCAAGAAGTACAAAAATTCAAATAGTATTTTGTAGAAGAAAGTCAATATTTATATAGTATGAAAAAACATATTGCTTAAATTGCTAATTAATTGTAATAAAATACAACTATTTAAGATAACGTATTATGATCAAAATATTCCATAAAATATGGTTCTAATTATATTATAACTTCTAAAATAAGTTGGAATATATTTATTGTGTATCAGAACATACTGTTAACTTCATCTATATTTTCTAACTTTCACACCATATTTGCCATAAATGATTGTATTTTTATGATACTTATAGGACTTATAGGATGATAAATTAGAATTTTAGGTACCCAAAGGAGTAGAAATTAGGCATTTTTTGTCCTTTATCATTCGAAATGTTTATTTCAGAATTAGGACGATCTGTTACTTACTTTCCTAAACTGCTGTTCTGCATCTTCTGCAGGATTTTTATCCGGATGCAACTGCAGTGACAATCGTCTGAAAGCTTTTTTAATTTCCGAAGCATTTGCGGTCTGAAAAATTAATTCATCAACTATTTGTTTTTCATTTAGAAAATTAATTATGTAAATAAGGACAATAAAAAACGAGATAAACCTGGGGGACACCAAGCACTTCGTAGAAATTTTGATTGACCTCCTCGACAACATCAAATACTTCCAATTCGTCATTGTCCCAAGCATTTGTGACACCATATACATCGAAAAAGTATAAAATTCGAAAGATCAGTAATAATGACACTCTCATTTTTTTTATTCGCTAAGTATGTACATTCATATCCGTTGAAAGTTCCTCCTTTTTTATTCTAGCGCGTTAGTCACTGAAACACTATGCTATAATCATTATTTCACTCGAATTAAATCGATCTTCCGCTAATCAAAGTATGAAATATGTTAAAATGCTAAGTGCCACATCGCAAATTCAAGTGAGGTTAGATTATGGAAACGTAGGCCGTGTGTATTAAACGCGTCGACGACTGACGATATATAGGAAAAAAATAGAATTTGAACTTGTGTTAGTGTATCTGTTGCACTTAACCAAAGGGTTATTTTCAATTCGCGATTTTATGATCGTCAATCTACTTTATCAACCGAGGTTACCTATAAAAGATTTTTAGTTTTTTAAATCATTTCTGATTCTGTATCCAAAATTTTACATTGAAACAAAATTATAGAACCTTTTGAAACATTATCTTCAATTTCACAACTCAAACTGTCTATTAATACTCAAATTCATTCATCTAAAAATGTGCTATATAACATGTGAGAGAATAATTAAAGATTAAATTCAACAAACTGATTGTATGAAAAGGATTATTTTAAGTAATTTTGTTCCATGTGTTAATGCAAGTAATCCGTTTAATCTTGATTACCTGGAACAATATGTGCAACAAAGTTGCTTAAGATAAGCAAGATTACGGTTTATAAGTTACCTATATAATATATGTATATAGAAATGTCCATGCTGATATAAAAGATGAAGTCAAATTTATCGAACTGGTTGTATGAAAAGGATTAGTTTAGACAAGTTTCTTCTGCATATTAAACCAAATAATTCATTTAATCTTGCGTACCTAGAACAATATGTACAACAAATTTGCTTAAGATAAGCAAGATTACGATTTGTAAGAGACTGTATTGCCGATAGGAATACTAACGTTAGCGCTATAATATACAGATGACTCCACCAATTTCGGTGATTCGAGGCGCGGCGCACAGTGTGCTTTTGCATTCGCATGCATCACCATCCAGGCTATTCGATCGAAAAATGTGTCTTCCGCTATATTTAAGTGCGACTGCACGCACTGTTTTTACAAGCTTTCGCCTATAGGAGGTAGAAGGTTTGACCGTGAAGTCGCGTGAGCTTAATTTGCAACGATAACTTGGAAAATTCCATGGAACCGTGAATCAACTGAACGGAAACCGCATCGAGTTAATTCCCTGGCCGCAGATGGTCATCGTGGCTCACTCTTCCGATTTCCATTGATTGTATTTATAGTGTCCTCCAGTTTATTTTTGCATGCGGCTCCTTTGAGAAAAAGATGCGCCTATCCGCTGGCTGACAGCGTTTCTCGCGTCGTAAGTCCCTTTAACCATAGGATTTTTAACATTTAGGAGAAGTCGTAGTTGTACAGAGAGAAAAAAGAAATCGAAAGAAAAAGAGAGAGAGAGAGAAAGAGAGGGAGAAAGAGAGAGAGAGAGAGAGAGAAAAAAAAAGACGATTGACGACTACAGTAAGGTCTTATTTGCATGTATTCGGACTGACGTTATGTGTGGGTGTGCAAGTCTATTTAATATATATTGTTGAACGTACGAACTCGATTGCCAGACTCTTTATTTCGTTTCTGTTCTAGATTCGTGATCCTGTGTCTCATTCGTTGTTGTCGTCTTCGTCGTCGTCGTCGTCGTCGTCGTCACTGACTTAACGACGAACGCGATTTTTTTATGGGGGAATCATTTGACGCGTTATAGCACAATAAAAGTGATCCGAACAAATACATTATTAGATCCTACTATGGAGATGTTATTCTTAGCGTGAAAACGTTGTAACGTTAGAACGACGGAAGACCGTTTCTACCTGTGCTAGATTCTTTTTACAATTCTATTTTGAACCTTCACATGTCGCCGGGTATTGTTAACCTATAATTCGTTGAAAAAGTACGAAGTTTCTCCTTTTGCAGCCTCTAGTTTCAAAATTTTCTAATTTTTGAATATCGATATTCAGTAATTTTTCCTTTTGAGTCGTTTAAAATATTCAGAGTGATAACCGTTCCATTATCTATTCGTCGTCATTGTCTACATATAAAGCATTTTTGTTGCATAATGAGTAATTATTAGCAGTCTGTAACACCACTAAATTATTCTTTGCAACAGTTAAGGCATTATCAGAATGAGTTGTTATTACGAATGAATATCCTTGCAATGTTTGAACGTTAACGCTTCATTTATGTGTGGTTGCATTGCAAACATCATTCTCCCATCTGTACAGTATATTCAATTGGTCATAATGCGTCTATTAATCATGCTTTAAATCATGCTCACATATTTCTAGCTCTAGCATATTGTCCCTTTGTCCTTTAGTGTGGTGGTTTGTCTTCTTGTACGGTGAAGGACGTGGATCTGCCTAGCAAAAGTCTGCCTGATATTCAAGCAAAATACACATATTAAAGCATTGAATACTGAAATGGAGTCTGCTATAGCTGGACGTAGGCGGACAACCGCACGACATTCAGCAGAGGATCAGGCTCTCGATCAGATAGCCAAGGAGGTATGGCTTGATTATTTTATAATAATGTAACAGAGTGGAGTTTATGAAAAAGATGATATTAAGAACTTTATAATTGTTATATTATTTCAAAACTGTATTCGTTGCCTTAACAGGAAATAAAATAAGATAGTATTGTTGCTATAAGTGTGCTTGACCTTCGGTACTTAAATGTGTGCATGTTTGTAGTAGGTGGGGTTTATATCTTCCTTGATAAGTTTATCTGTAAACAGGAATGTGTAGAGACAATTACTAAATAAGTGAGATATTATATATAGTACATGTCACAAGTATTATTCTAATTAATATTTTATCTTTTAATTGTGACTAAATTAAAGTAAGTATTTGTTGATCTAAATTGATATCAGGATCTCGCATGTTATTTTTAATATCATGTGTCTAATGCAGTGTTTCTATATCATGTGTCAATGTGTTAATAATAAATTGAATGTGAAACTATGTTTTTGGTAACAGGATGGATTTACCGTACATACTTTCAGGCAGAAGCTAGATTAGCTGCTAGAAGACAGGCAAGAGCGGAAGCTAGAGAAATACGAATGCGGGAGTTAGAAAGACAACAGAAAGAGGCAGAGGAAAATGCAGATAGGGTGTATGACATGTGTTCAGGTATCTATCCAAAAAAATTAATTCTACATAGAATGTTAGAAACGAAATAAAACATATTATTTTCGCAATTTTTCAGCTGATGTGAATAGAACAATGAGAGTAACACCTGATTCTGTGAGGTCGTCGCGTCTCCTCACGAATTCTAACAATTTCCAATCCAGTCGAAGATCTTCCGAAGATTCACTGGAAGATGCTGGCCTAAGCAGAGACCTCAGGGTACTAATATTTTTATCTTGCAATTCATATTAGGATAAAAAACACCATGTGTTCGTTTATTTAAATATGTACAAGCTTTCCTCCGAATTTTTCCTTTGTAGTTAGAATTGAAAGAATTTGAAGAAAAATTTAGAAAGGCGATGATAGCCAATGCTCAGTTAGACAATGAAAAATCTTCGTATGCTTATCAAGTCGATCTATTGAAAGACAAATTGGAGGAACTAGAGGAGACGGTTGCACAACTTCGTAGGGAACTTAGAGAAAAGAATCGCGAATCTGAGCAGTTAAAAAGACTCAGTCAAACATTGAAAGACGAGTTAGATGTATGCCATGCACAATTAATAGAAAGAGATGCGCTTATACAAGTAAGTAAGCGATAATCTCAAATAAATATGTCGTACTTTTTATTTTAATTCTGTAATTAAAAACTAAAATTATTTTAGGAAAACGGTTTAGTTATTGTCGACGATGAAGGAAGTGAAAACGAAGATAATGAAATTGAGAACGGCCCGCGTCCAAGACGAAGAGTACTAGTCAGTACAGAAGCAGCAGAATTATTGCAAAACGCTGGAAAGGGTTCACTAGGTATGCACAATTATAAAAGATAAAGAATATTTTTGAAATAAAAAGATATATGAGAGAATGTTTTATCATAAATCATAGATGTCCGGCTGAGAAAATTTGCTTCTGAAAAAAAAGAATTGCAAGATGAGATACGACATCTTAGATTGGAACTAGAGGAGACAAGAAATCGTATTAGGTCCGAAAGATCGCCTGGTTCAGTATTAGGTTTGTATACCTACTATAAAATACATCGTACTTATATTATAGCATATTATAAAATTTCCTTTTATATTGTTTAGTGTATCTATAATTATATTTCATTAATTGTTTCTTCTAGGTTGCTTATCAGACTCCGAAGATGTGCAACGTGAAGCAAACAAGCTTTTGGCCGATTACAAGTTCAAGCTTCAAAAAGCTGAACAAGATATGTCTACTTTGCAAGCTACTGTAGCCAGGCTAGAAAGTCAAGTAATACGTTATAAGTCAGCAGCAGAGGCATCTGAAAAAGCGGAGGATGAACTGAAAGTAGAAAAGAGAAAGTTACAAAGAGAAGTAAGCGAAAACTCTCTGCGAATTTTAATCCTTTGTAATTTGAACATTCTCGCTAGATAAATCGGAAAAAATCTGTTTCTTATAGGTCAGAGAGACTCAAGGCCGTGTAGAAGAACTGGAAACGGCAAATTCTCATTTACAGAGGCGATTGGATAAACTTAAAAACGCAAAATCCGCTCTGTTGAAAGAGCTTTGACGGGACGACTTCTTGGGGTCTGTACAATGAGTCTGCCATTTTTCGATTCACTGGGAACCGTGCGCCGATGTTGCCTCACACAACATGAGATACTACTTAACGCATTGAAATATAATTTATGCGAACGGAACACGTACATATAGTAATCGTTACGCGGATTTTACCATGATTTTAATTGATTTTTAATTGTACAATACTGCATACAAGTATGGCATTCCAAAATGGCCACCGCTGTGCAATGGTCTATTGGGATGCCATATTTGGATTAATTATACGCTAAACTGCTGTGAAAAGAAGTCGCTGTTTTATATTCAACACGTTCTTTTCTTTCATTAATTTTTTTTTTAACACTAACAATTATTCTGCATTTCTTAGTAAAAGAAAGAAAAAAAGAAAAAAACGAAGAAAAAGAAGTAACAGCCTTTTCAATGCATTTCAAACACCGAATATTTTTTCGTTAATTTTGCGAACAGTTATGGAGTCGATTCGTAATATGTATATTATTTTGAGGAAAAATATTCTGACTCGTGTATTATAAATGGAATTAAATATTTTCCATGCCTTTATTTTTTGAGGCACAATCTTTCATGTTACTTTAGTTTTTGCTCATTGGAGCTGCTGCGATGGAAACTTGAAGATAACCGTATAATAGTTATTCAGAATAATTTATGATATACGGGTCAATTAAAACATTGCGTACGTCAATGAGTGTAATTTTTGTGTTACATCGAATAATTTATAAACGATATTTCTACAGATACAAAATATTTATAACTTCTACGAGAACCGTGTTAATAGTTAAAGCTAGAATTTCGAATGGAAGCAACCAATCTACAATATTCATTTTCTACTATCGATCGTCTACTGTGAAATCTTGATAAACGTTTTTAATTTTTTATATCGTATTGTCGTATCTAAAAAATCGATATTAGATTGTATGCCAAATAGAATGATAAAGATAACTGGAACATCTGAAATTGATGGAAGAAAAAATATTCCTGCTGATTGTGGTGTTAAAGTTGTTAATGATAGCATTTTTAATCGATTGAATTGTCTCCAGAACTGAACTTTTTATTCCTCTGACTGATGCGAAGCAAAAGAAAGTAGATGTATGATAGTGTGGTCTTTGTACATTCGAAATAAATTAAACTATGTTGTTGAAGCTATATAATATTCTTGGTATATAAATTTATTATATATATTTTATGTGATATAAAAGAGAAGTATTAAAAATGTCATTTACATCCTTATCAATTAGAGATATATCTGAAAAAAGTAATCCAGCAAATCAAAAAAATAATGAAATAACAAATCTTGTTTATGTCATATTTAGCTAATACAAGTTATTTTCGAATTTATGGCGAATCATGAAATATTTAATTACATTCAATCGTCATTTCTAAGTGTAAATATGTATAAATTGTTTAGTTTTCTTTTTAATTTGTTTTTTAGCATTTAAATTATATAAACGGTAAAAATAAAAATTTTCAGTTTTAGACACAAAATTACAAAAAAAAATACAGCTTTTTTATTGTGATTCGAAGCTCGATTGCACCATTCTCCATAAAAAAATTACTTTATTATGATACCGTATATGGGAGTTCAAATTTTTCCTACAACTCAAAGAAGTATTACCTAACAAATCATGTCATGTTACTTACATATAGTCAATACATAATTAACTTGTATATTGTATGTTGATTAAAATTAAGAAACGGCTTTTGCTTTGTTTCTAATTCCCAATGCAGGACTTTGTGGATTGGTTATAGGCTTGGTTGATTTTACAATATTTATAGGTTTATATACTGGCATTGGTCTAGCTTTCACCTCTGCCATTTTGCGCAACTCTGCTCTTTCCATTTTTTCTTTCAATAATTTATTCTTTTCTTCCTGCATTTTCTTTGCTCCAAATTCCTGCTCCCTCTTCTTGATTTTGTCATCAAATTCGTTCCTTTTTTGAGCTCTTTTCATTGTATTTAATTCAACTTTACCAACCTTGTTCTGGACATTGTTTAATTTTTTATTTTTGGTATCTATTAAGCTTGTGCTGGTTCTATTTATTGTCACCTTCTTTCTAGTGCTTATGTCCGTTAATGTATTGTTCATAATATTAGGCTGCTTATTTTCTTGGTTACTGTAACTTTTTATTTGTCTGGTTCCAAGTTCCTTAGAGCCACTTACCTTGTCCTTGCTTCGTATATTATCTTTAGATAAACCATGAATCACAACAGGTTTAAAACTTGGAACAGGATTGGCATGGAATACTCTAGCCTTTTTATCCTGTTCCTCCAACTGTTTAATAAGTTCTTCTTTCTTCTTAGCAAGAAATTTGTTTCTTTCTTCAAAACTAAATGGACATGTAGCTATTGTTCTCCTTTTTGAACTTTGCTCTTTAACTGTATTTGTTGGCTTTAGAAATTTAGGTGCGGGTCTTGCATGAAACTCTGTCTTTACTTTATTTACTTCCTGAGTGTGACAATTTTTCAGTTTTTCTTCCTTTTTTATCTGAAATTCCTTGTTGCGAGTGTTAGAATTGAATTTTGTGTCCTTTGTGTCATCTGCAACAACTTCTACACAGAGATTTCCCTTCTTAGAGGAAACACTTGAGCTACTGGTGGAAGGAGTGATGGGAACAATCTTTTTGTGTTCCTTGGCATTTGTATTCTGTTGCAAATTTAGGGATGGTCCTGCTGTATGACGTATTCTCTTAGACTGAGTCAAATGAAACTCTTCCGTAACTGTAGTTGGTTTTTTAGGCATTTTTTTCAACACTGAACGACCCTTTAAGATATTAATTGGTACAGGATTTGCTTTGATTTGATGCTTCTTCATTTCTTCAAACTCCAACTCTTCTCTTTCTTGCTGACTCAAGATATTACCTCTTCTCCTTCTCTGTTTGCATCTTAATGCAGGAGAAACTGGATAAGTAAGCTTCATCGGTAATTGTTTCAATTTCATCAATGGACCAGGTTTCATATCCTTGTTACTGAGAGTACGGAATCTCTGAGGTGTTCCATTTTGAAACTTAGAAATCGCCTCTGCTAAACTTACGAACTGATTTGAACGTTTTCGATTCTTCATCATCTTTGTTATACCATATTGACAAGTAAGTACCTTTGGTTGTGATTTACCCAATGAGTGTCGTTTCTTATTAAATAAATTAGATTCTCTTTTTGAAAGTGATACAATTTTATAAGATAATCTCTTCTCTGAAAGATTATCTTTTGCTGAAGTATCAACTTTTGATTTTATTACTAATTTATCTTTATTTTTTGCAAATGCAGTTTGTAAAGTACTTTTTTTTTCCATATTATTTGCCTGAACATCTTTCAATGAAGACTTACCAAGAATTGTGTTCTTTGCCTGTAACATGCGCTGCTTAATCCTCTCAGGCATATCCTTTTTAATTTTATGATTTGCCATTGATACTTTAAATTCAGCGGTCAGATCTGTTATTGATATATTCCATGTCTGATGAATTTTGCTGGACCTTTCATCTAGCTTTAAGTCTTTCATAGCTCTGTCTAATTGATCATCTTCCTTAACTTTCTCTATAGAATGCATTTTATTTTCATGAGGTATAAAATATGCTATATTACAATGTGCAGGAGTTTGTGGTTCTAAACTGTCATCAAACTTTGTTTCATTGACAGATTGCTCAGTTCTGCTTTCTTGCGTACGTGAGGAAGATGGAGTGGAATCAATGGTAGATTTCGAAAGTATTTGAGGATCGTGCACCTCGTGTTCTTTTTCGAAATAACTATCACAACAAACCTGAGGACTACATGTAAAATCTGCCCACTGTGGAGCACAACAGTTCTCCATCATATCAAAAAAATTTGAATTCATGGATTAAATTTTCAAATAAGTATTACAACAAACTACCGTAAGGTGGATATTATTCAAACACAATCTACAAAAAAAGCGCGAGGATAATAAAAAAAACTTAGAAACGTTATTCTATTTGTATATGTTAAAGTTTATAGGTACCTTTGGAATAAGTAGCAAGCACTTAAGCTGCAATTTTTACACGATTTCGTGTAATTAAACGTTTATCTGGTCCAGTAGTTCTTTCACAATTCTTTAAATAACTAATTCTATAAAGAAAACTTCTTTCCAGGATATTTACTTTTCAAACACCGAAAATCCTGGTAACTGGTCAACGTAGACGTTGACGAATTTAAGTTTGAAATTTTTTGACCTTCCATCTAATTGGCTGGAAATAATGTACATAATATAAAAGTTAAAGATCTCTATTATTCCTATAAGAATTTTGTTCGTTATTGTATGTTAAGGTTGGCAATATTAGTATATAGTGACTTAACGCTCCATGACTGTTACATGAAAAGGTGCCACAGAACATGACAACTGCGCATCTTACTGCGCAGAATAATTTTTCCGCGGAAAAACAAAAAAAGGTGAGACATGGGTAAAACAGTTCGAAAGGAAAGGAAGATTTGAAGTAGCATTTTGAATCGTTTTTATCTTCCTATATTTTATTTTGTTCACTCTTAACTAGATAGGATATTTGATGAACTTATTACTCGAGTTAAGATTTTCGTGAGTCACTATAAATTATAAAGAATTAAGTAATTACGTAGGACGTATAAAGTTGGCGCGCGGAAGCGCCCCTAACATCCACATACGGAATTAACCAGACATGTCGTCGGACGTATTTGCTGGATTAATGTTCGCCTGCAAAGATGTAAATAAACTGTTGGTTAGCTGACCAGTTTCGTGCGATGAATCGTACGAGGACCGCAATATGTGCGTAGCTGTATGTACACGACCGTTTATCCGGCAATCCAAAGGTAGGGGCCCAAGAATGGCGCCCGCGCGTGTGCAATGATCGACTTTACTGTAGCAGACGGAACATATTGCTTCGTCGACGTTTATTTCTGTTTTGATGTGCGCAAATTCTTTACTGGGCACGCACTGGTTCATCAAATAATTCTGCTCCAACATTTCTATCAAAGTTATATCTGTCCCATGAAATTTCCATTTTGGGAGATCCTCCACAATCTCTTGTCACTATCTATTCTCCTGTCTATTTACTCAAACGTGGACTTCCGATTTGTGATGCAAACGTCAATGTGACAATTGTTGAATGATACACTATAATATGGTATCACTATCAAATCGATTCGATAAGTTAAAGTGGAGAGTGACATTTGAGTGAAACTTAATGTGTCCAGTAAGAATTCATAAAAATTCTTTATGAAAACCCAATCTTGCGATAATGCGAGAAGAGAACTATATTTCACGTCCGATCATTGATAAGGACCATCGAATAGGAAATTTCCAGTAATGTATATTCTTTTTCGATTATCTTGAATCAGAAGTTATTATTAAACTTTCTTGTAATACTGCCATCTTATTCTTACATCTTCTTTGCTAATGACCATTTAACCAGCTTCGAATTTTTGCAGATGAACGTTCCACTATATGGACTTCTTGGAGTTGCGGCTGCTCTACTCATATATATTATTGGAATTGGAATGATCCTGAAGCTGTTTATTTGTCTGCTAGCCTTAATTTTAGGGTATGATTCACTTGCTTTTAAGATCTTGATATTGAAAGCATTGATATTTCTATCCATTTAATTCTGTTGTAGAATAATCACATGTATATATAGAACATATGGTGCAAACCTTGACAATGCAGTTAAGTCTGAAAGGGAAGACTTAAACAAGAAGACTGAAAAGTTACGGCAGGTGAATACACATTAAACAATACAATTGGATTGATTACCATGGTGCTTAAAGATGCATTTCTTTTTGTTTCAGTATATTCTAGATCTATCCACCCAGAAGATGACCTTTACTTTAGATAGAAGAATCACTGGGAGCCGTATTATTGACGAATCCCTGCAAGTACATAGTCGATTTAAGAACTTTTATTGCCTTTGTGTACCCCAACATGAAATATATTATATAGTATATAATAATATATAATATGTATAATAAGAGTAACATACGATTTGCGACTTCCCCCTATATAGGAAATACTAGATTTCGTTATCAGAGATTATGTGGAACCATGGTACAGCATTATTACAGACGACGAGGAGTTTATATATTCTGTTCGGGACACTGCTCAGAAAATAGCAATCAACATTGCAAATCGGTACATAAAGCATACAATTCGATAAATCCTTTTCGCTTCATTCCCTTTTAAGGAAATCATCTTTTCATTAGGGTGAAAGGTGTAGATTGGGTACCATACTTAACCACGCGCCTCGTGGACGATGCAGCTTCCCATGTTAGGCTCTATCGACAGGCAAGAGCGAGGATAAAACAGCTTCGAGCCAAGAAACTGCAGAAAGGTAGTGCCAGTTCAAGCACTTCCAGTGGCACACCTAAGAAGACACCCACGCATAGACGAAATAAAAGTGAAACGGACGTCTCTTGGTATTCCCAGTCTAAGTTCTACATTCCCAATTTATCTTCCCTCACGGAACCAATCGAAAATAACGAAGAGAAAGAAGAGGAATCGCTGGAAAAGATATTTTTCGACCTGGAGGTGCAAATGGAGAACGATTTAATCTGCAGGGACCTGGTGTGCACTAATAGTACTCAGGAACTTGAATTTTTGGGAGAGATATCTGAAATTCTATTATATCTTGTATTACCAAAAGGAGACTTCGATTGTTTGACTGTAAGATTTATTTTAAGGGAGTTATTAGTGAATGTGATTATTAAACCATTGTTGGATCTATTCTCTGATCCTGATTATATTAATCAGGCGTGTATATGGCTGGTAAGTATATTATAAGATTGTTTTAAACAGCAGGGAACGAATTATGCTTATAATTTTGCATTTTCAGTGCGCTAAAGAAGGTGGCTTACCCAGCGATGTGTTTTTAACGGTGATCAGAGTGACGGATAGCTTAGATGAATTAACGGCGACGAAAAATATAGTTTGTAAAGAAATAGCTCATCTTCGTTCTAAGGATTCTGGAGGAGAGGATGATCTGTCGGTGAAACAACAATTGAATAGTTTACTCTACGTAAAGAAGATTTTGGAAACCAGGATTATCGGGATGCAGGAGGGACTAGAGTCAGAGACCGACTTAATTGGTACTCAGCCTGATTGGAACAGGCTACTGATGCCTGGACAGAAATTAGTGAATTTACCCCTAGATGAGCTATTGAAGAATAATATCGCGTTGAGTTACTTCATCGACTACATGACCTCCATAAATGCAGAATCGTACCTGTTCTTTTATCTAAATATCTATGGCTGGAGGGTATCGGCAGAGCAACAGATATCCAACATAGAATTGCAGAAGTTGCACGCGGCTCAAGCAACTCCTAGTCTCATAGGTACCAAGCGTAAAAATACAGATCTGGAAAATTTAAAGGAAGCAGCTATCAAAATCTATCAGCAGTACCTCAGTGACAAGGCATCTCCAAAGTTACAACTGGACGATGCCTTGGTAAAGACTTTGTTAACCAGAATAAAAACTGAGTCTGTGAAAGAAATATGGTTCGACGATCTTAGAGCTTGTTGCTACGAAAAATTACAAAACGAGGATCGATTTCTGCCGGGTTTTAAAAGATCCAAGGCTTACGTAAAACTTCTCGCGGAATTGGATCTTTTGAAAGATCCAACATCTGAAGAAGATACAAAATCTTTGGATAGTATCAGTTTGTCGAGTACGAATAACGAACTGGAGACTTTGGATGAGATGTCTGAAATATACAAAACCGAGGATACTAAACCGGCTGAATTAAAAGATAGTAAATCGAAATCTAACTCTTCGACGAGTTTGGCCAGTATCGTAGAGCCAAACGAGGACAAACCGGTTGAATCAGATTCTTCGATCAACATTAGAACCATGAAGAGTATAAGGAAGGCAATTAGCATTGATACGGATCACATTAGCGAAGGTAAAGATGTCTCTTTCTATCTGGAATCGAATTCAGAACAATTTGTCAAATTAGATGAGAACACTTATGATCAGAATGCCATTAAGAAGTTGCAACAGGGAAAATTCGAAATTACGGCCAAGATTATCGAGACTGGAATAGTTAATGATCGTGGGAAAACTTATGGTATCTACGCAGTAGCCGTGACCAAGAATTACGATTCAGGTTATCAAGAGAAGTGGCACATTTATAGGAGATACTCTGATTTTTACAATCTTCATCAAAAGATTAAAGAAAAATACTACGATTTGGCAAAAATTCCTTTTCCAGCGAAGAAGGCTTTCCATAATATGGAAAGAACCGTTTTGGAAAGAAGAATGTTGATGTTGAATGCCTGGTTGCATCAATTAACGAAACCAGCTGTCGTCGAAGGACATATGGGTTTACAGAATTTGTTACTGAACTTTTTGGAGCAGGGCGATTACGATAAAGGTGTTACCGGTGGACAGATATCTAAAACGGTAATTATAATCATTATACAGGGTGTTTTAGTCAACTGGAACAAGCGGTGTCCTTAAATCAATTGAAAATAGAAAAAAATATAAGAATTTTGTATTAAATGATAATAGTAATTAAATGCATGATATTTTATTTAAAGTGTTCTGTTTGTCTGGTACACTCTGTATATACGAGTAAGATTGTAAGAGGATTATACAAGGTATTTAATCCTCGATTTAATACAGATAGATACTCTGATGAATCCATTGAAAACGTCAATGAAAACAGTAACTCAGGCAGTGAAAACTATGCCGGATAATATGCTAAATACGGTAGATGGAGTTATGGACAATATAAGTAAATTTTTTGGCAATCCAAAGAAACCCAATGCCTTCTATGAGAACACCAAAGTTAGTGCTAGTCTGGATGTGGAGGTGCTTATTTGCCTTTTAGATCAGTATGTAGTAACCACATGGTATTTAAATATGTAGCACATTTTAATTTCATCTTATTTTAGACCAACGACAACATTCCCTTACGAATAATGCTACTATTGATGGATGAAATCTTCGACTTAAAAGTGAGAAACCAATGGCTCAGACGACGAATAATAACGTTACTCAGGCAGATCATTCGCACTATGTTTGGCGACATAGTAAATCGAAGAATAGTCGAGTATGTTTCCCTATTAACGAGTCCAGCCAGGGTAGCTGGTTACTTAAAATTATTTAAGTAAGTAACCCTATATTTTGTCGGAATTTGTTGGAATTAACTAATTAACGTTATTTACCAATTATTTGACTGTACAGGAACAGTTTCTGGCCAAATGGAATTAAAGCCGAAAAGAAACCACCCAGGGATGCAGAAACGAAGAACAGGACAAGGGTAGCAGCCAAGGTTGCACTTCTATCCTGTCTTTCGGATGAATTGAAACATATCATTGGTAGTGAAACAACCAGGAGAGGCCTTCTGAGAGTGTTTGAGTTGTTCCAGCGACCTGTGCTCAACAGAAGACTTCTGTACGCACTTCTAGAAGGAATTGTAGAGACTCTGTTCCCTCAGAACAACTTGGTGGACATTTTCCGAAAACTCTACTCGGTTTCACCAAGGTTACAACAAAGAAATTTTCAGAAAACATAAGATCTGATAATTCTATTCAGCGTATTTTGGAGTTAGGAACGCCTATGAATCTCTTCATCGAATACTATCTGCACCAAAGACTTTGAACAGAATAGTGAAATGGAGGATGACTGTTTACCAGCTCTTGAGTTGATTTCTCAAAAATGAATGAGAGGAGAAATCATATTGTCGAGTAAATATTTTATAGAGGGAGTTAGGGGAACCAATACTCATGCCTATAAATTTTATCTATAGATGAATTGTAAAATACAAAGGACGAACTTCCTTAATCGATGCTCAACTGGAAGATTACCTAAAAACTCGTTAGGGGTAAAGTGATTATGTACATTATTATCTCGAGCAGCCAATTTCATTGCAATAAACAAGAGAAGAAAAGATGGAAGTAGTCATTTTTCAAACTGGGAACAATTTGAAAGTTCTGTAGAGAAAAAGAATTTCTAAATCATACTCTCAATTTCTATTAATATGTATATTCGAATAAAATAAGCGCAGTAATCCAGTGGCCAAATAAGTCTAATAAACTATTTACACGAATTAATTCGAGCACTTTAATCGAGTTTTGCTGGTAGGTTACGGAACGTTTCACAAATCTCTCGAATATCTCGTAGAGATACGCGTATTTAAGAAGATTATGCATTCCAATTTGCATTTTAGCAATGTACTTCATAAAAGAACACTTTTTACACGTGTACTAGAAGACCAACTTTTTCATGATGGTGTTATTCTTTAATGTACAAATCGTCGCGAAAATACAATACTTAATTCGCCGAAAGATCTTCAATGTATCGTGCCATTTCAAACCTACGCGTAGCAAAGACAAAAACAAGTAAAACCAAGTTTCTATTTATTCGAATCTCTTTGAAGAATTTCTTCGGACAGCTATAAGTTTGTAAAATCTTAATTTAATTCCCCTGTCGTTAACGAATGTAATTATTCTTAACGATAGTGTAAAATTGTTGTAAATGTCGTACAATTGTATATATACATGAACGTTATTTCTATCGTGTTGAAACGCCATATCTGTCATCGTTTACTTATTATTAAAGGAATTGTTTATAAATCGATACTATTTATTCTCTTCTCGCATTCCTACCTTTTCTCTCTATAGAAAAATTATGGGGGTTCATATCTACTACATTCTCAGAAAGATTCAGTAAGCCTCAATCTTTTTTCCACCTAAAAATAAAAATATATTTTTTCTCTAAAACATATATAATTTTTCAAATTAGATTAAAACAAAATTAATATTTTTCCAAGAACGAGGATAAACATTTTGCATGAAAAAGAATTGCAAGAATAGAGTGAGATTTATCGTATGGTAACTCTTACGCAAAGTCGGAAGTTTCCAAGTTTTCATGGCCAAATATGGATTATTAATTCTGCCAGCTATGCTGGAAGATCGAAGAGATTAACTGGGCTCGTATTTCAAAAGCCGCGACAAAGAAACTAGTTAATTACTACGAATCAATTAACCGTAGCCATTAGCAATAGGG